GAAGAGCACCACCAGCGACCACATACAGCAACCCCTGGGGCCAGCAGTGATGAACTCACAGGGCCTGCCGGTACCCACCGCGCCAGAGTGGATCCAGGCACGGACACAGAGGCCCGGGCCCCCAGGGCGCACCCCCCCAGGCCAAGGCCCAACAGGGCCAGAGGGACCCAAGCCCCACCGGGCAGCCACTGGGCCGAGCCGGCACATGCCCAAGCACCTTTGACGATGCTAAATGTAAAAAAATAAAATAAAATTAGGGGAAGCTATTGCTAATTGATAACCGTTAAGATGACTGTCAGCCTGCGTCAAACGTCTATGTCTCCTTCCAGCCTAAGACTGGTGGGACTGAGAAACCTGTTGATGTTAGTTTGTTAAATTAGCTGTTAAGAGAACTTAAAGTTTGCCAAAACTAAATTAATAGATGTTAATCAGTCGACCAACAGTTTTTAAAGTTAGTGAAAAAGCTAATCCGAACTTTGTTCTTGGCCCGACTCAAAGCAGCTGTTAGCTCGTTAATCTGGTCGAAAATAAACTATTTTTTGCAAAACCGAGGCCATTTAAAGAACTATCTACAACAGATAAGATATTAACTGTTTATGATCGTTCCACAGAACCCCACTTCAAAAAATCTGAAACATATCTTTGCATATTACCTGAGAATAAATTAGAAAGGTTTTGGTTGTTCTGGAGAAACAGTTTGACAGCAGTCCCACTCGAATTATCATTTAATCTCTTTGTGGAAAATTATCAGAATAATCGTTGTATTTGTTGACAAAAAAAGAAAAACGATGCCACAAAAAAATGAAAATGAAAAATTAAAGTGGTTTGAAACATTTTAAAGTGTTGGACTTTTTTAGACCAAGCAATGGTTTAAACACATTTTATGTTATTTAAAGAGGAGAGGTTGATTTGAGCTTTTGTTTGTTTTTATTTAATAATGATTAGAAGTTAAAAACATGGCCTCCATTGCATATTGCAGATGTTTTATAGAGGAAATGTGAATTTTCACATGGTCTGATGCTCTGTGACATCTGTGTGTCCATTTTTTGAGGCCATAACCTCACTCTGCTGCGTTGTTTGGAGTCTGGAAGGGATTTTCTCATCCACTCCTGCTCAAAAACTATTTATCCGTGTTGCTTTGGCCTCACTCCCCCGGCCTCTGTGTCTCTTCTGTTTATGTTAAGTTGTGATTAACACAGCCAGCTCAGGTGCTCACAGGCATTTGTGTTCCCTCCCTTGTTGGCTGGGAGATGATCAGAAAAGCAGAGTTGGGCGAGGATTTATTTTAGTGTTTGACCTCGTTGGATTTGTTTTTACCAGAACTGTTAGAAAACTCCTGACAATTTGTTATTAACAAACAGTATTTCAGTGCAATGATGGCTCTTTCAGTCTGTGTTTCTGATCATTTTATCAGTAAGATGATGTTGTTTTTGTTAACTCCGGGCTTTTTGCTTCATGTTTATACCTGTTTGTGTGTCTTACAGAGGCACTGGAGCTCATCTCTACTGCAGCCAACCACTCCAATGCTGCAATCAGGAAAATGGTAAGGCTTCCCATTGCACAAGTTGTTTTCAGCTCTCCAGTCGTGTCTGATTAAGCTTCATTTGAACCAGTGATAGGTTACATAATCAAAGACTTGCTAATGTTTGTCAGCAACTTTGCATTATCACAGACAGGAAGCTGCTGTTTCCTGCTTCGAGTGGCATGACAGGCAGAAGCCTCACTGTCTCTTTAACACAGCTTCTCTTCGTCGTCTTCACCTCTCTGACCTCCATACCTTTACCTCTCACATTCTATAAACAGCTTAAGTAGACAAATGTGTGTATGAACCAGTATAAAATGTAATCTTTTTCATTTTGATGAGAAAAAAGTCTCATAAATGAACAATCCCATAGAGCTCCATTTATCTTGTGACCTCTCTTTCTACATTTTTCTTAATGTTTTTCAGGAGAAGATGCACAAGCTGCTGGAGGTTTACGAGAGGCTCGGTGGGGAGGAGGACATAGTCAACCCAGCCAATGAGCTTATTAAAGAAGGGCATATCAAGAAAATGTCAGCCAAAAACGGAACAGCACAAGACCGATACCTCTATTTGGTGAGAGGGGATGAAAATGAGAAAAATGCCACAGCGGTGAAGGAATCTGTACGGTTCATTACCTGCTTTGTCTCTGCTTCTTATGTAGTTCAACAATATGGTGCTATACTGTGTGCCTAAACTCAGACTGATGGGGCAGAAGTTCAGTGTCAGAGAGAGGATTGACATCGCTGGCATGGAGGTGAACTTCCCTTCTTCATCGTAGAGATCTTTTCTTTTCTTTAGACCTGTAGTTTGTTTTGCTGAGTACATGTCTCTTGTGTCCTGCTTCTTGACCTCAGGTGCAGGAGAACGTGAAGCAGAACCTTCCTTACACGTTTGCCATCATCGGTAAACAGCGTTCACTCGAGCTGCAGGCCAGGTAAAGTGTCTTACAGACATTAATTTATCATAGCAAAAGTAAGAGTTGATTTGTGAAATATTCCCAGAGGTTCTAATTACAGTTGGTTACGTTTAAGATATTTAATTGTGTTTGAAGTTTGAATTGATTATGTTTATTTTTCAGAAAATAAATTAGATCTTATGTTTCTGGGTACAACAATCCATTATTTTATTACCAAAAAATATCAGTTCTTGTTACTTTTCATGTTTTATATTCATAATGGGATTATTTCTAAAGGGCTCGACACACGGGCAGCGACAAACTACAGCGATTAACGGCTGTCATCGCAGCCAGGGTGAAACCTGACACACGGGACGTGATAACGATCGCAGCGTTGCGAATCGCGCTCTCAGATCGCTTGTCTTCACAAAATTTGATTGGTTCTTGACTCTGAAGGCGGGTGTGCATTACGGACGTGTAAACTAAACAAATCTTGTGATGCTAATATATATAGAAAACCAAACACACATCAAGATACAGTTTTA